ATTTTTCTTTCAAAAAGGTCCTTACCTGAGGATAGCTTTTATGTTTGTTAGAACTTTGTAGGAAGTTCATAGTAGTCTATCTTTCTATCTATCAAATTTCATTTTCTAACACAGTCTCCTGAAGTTTGACTCCAACTTGATTTTCCAATGTTATTGTTCACTATTCTCTGCTTTAGTATAAATGATCTTCTTGCTTTTCCAGAATACATAAAAATCTCTTATTTTTCATACCCTTCTCACTCTTCCTTTTCTACTTAGGAATGACCTTTCCTTCTGCCTGTTGAATTCTTGAATACATTGATTTAATTCCACTTAATGGTTTTCTAAAGCCTACAAGATAAATTGAAAATGCTACAGAATTTTAAAAATCATTTTGCCAATTACTCTTAAAGTTGTATTTTATTCAGCAGTATTATGTGCTTTCAAAGATGTTTTACATAGATCCCTAGAAATATGCTTCTACAAATAAACACACATGTATGTGTACAATATACTTATATAGTATTTTACTTTCATTAATTTCTTTCATATGTTCACGTGATAATTTTTACTTTTATGAAGTCAATCAATAAGAAAGCCAATGAAGACCGATTTTGAAATTAATGATTAGGAATGGCAGATAAAATCTGATCTGACACTAGTTTTTAATACATTAGTACTTCATCATTAAATAAAATTTAGAAAATACTATATATTTATACATATAGTTTTAAATTATAGATTTTTATGATTCATTTTGCATTTTCATACAAATTTACCAATAAGTAAGGATGTGGAAAGAACTTATCCTAATAGCTATGAGGAAATGAATGAGGAGAAGTTACTCATGGACTTCATTGTGTTAAAACTTATTATACAACATATTTCAGTTCATATTTTATTTTGTTTTTTTTATTTGTTTGTTTTTTTGTTTTTGTGGTGCTGGAATTGGACCCAGGGGCCAGCACATTCCAGGAAAGTGCTCTATCTCTGAATTATATACCCTGTCTTTTGAGTCCATTTTTTAAAGTAAAAAAAAAATTAGTATAGATTTAGACTTATAGAAAATTATAAAGATAATACAGGATTGCCATATACCCTACAATTTCCCCATTATTAACATCTTACATTGAGTTACAATTAATGATGGTGCATGAGTTATAATTAATGAATCAATTTTGATATATTAACATTAGCTGAAGTTCATATTGCATTCAGATTTCCTTGGGTTTTCTCTGTGTGTGTGTGTGTGTGTGTGTGTGTGTTTAAATTAAGAATAGATAAACTGTGTGAATGACATTTGAAGAGAATAGTAGAATTATCAAAATACCTCTATAGATAATACCTAAATTTCTGTGAAATATAACAAAAATCAGTGATTTTTCTGTTTTGGTCTCATGGGTCCTGTCTGTCACCCTAAGTTACTCTTCCTTTTTCAAATTATGTTTCTCAATAAAGAACTACTTTGTTTTTAATTCCCCAAATAAATTATACTGTTTAATGCCTCCTGCCTGTATTAGCTCTCTGCTTGGATGGTCTCTTTCTCTCTGTCCAGCTAGTGAATCCCCTAAATCCTAGGCTAAGAGGCATCTATTCTGTGGTCCTGTTCCTAAAGCTGCTGATAACCAGTCTATAAGATTTTAATTTCAACTGCTTTTGTGCAACTAAAAATTCAAATTTCCATTGTATTTTGTTTTAGGTATAACTTAGTTTCCTGTTTGACTAAGTTTAATACAAGTTCTGTTTCCTGTAGATACAACATATAGATTTTGAGAAATGTACCCATATTAACTGAAGGGATAGAATATAAAATTTAATAGGCCAAAGTATTGAAATGTGTCTGTACATGTATATGAATATAGAACCTCTCTCTTTTTTAAAAAAATATGCATATATATTTCTTTCTATGAAGTAAGTAGAAATGAACTAAATTTAACCATTGCTATGAAGATTAGGGTGATTATTTTAAGACTTATAATTTAATATTACAATTAGCATTCCAATGAGAAATATTGATTCAGTAAAATAATACTAATAACAATATTTTGTGAATTCCATATAATTATTTAGCACTTTGATTATAACAGATGGTATTAATGTCTAAATTTTTCAGTACTGTTTTTATTCACATTTTCTCATTTTGGTTTAAGTTGGTGATAGTTACAACTCTTTAATATTTTTATCAGAAGAGAAAAGAGAAAGAGAATGTCAGTGTCAGGTTTAATTTTGTCCATTTGATTTTGACTTCTTATAAAGAATAATTACAGAATTCCAGGTGAGGATTTTTTTATAAGACTAATAACCTTGCTGAATCTTTCTTCACTTTGGATAATTAGAACATGCTAGAGTTGTTATATAAGAAGTTAAAATAATAAATCCAGTTTATATACTACTTTCAATTGAAATTTTAACCCTCTAACTTGTGACTATCTAGGTGAGAATATACTGGAAATAGAACAAGCTTTTGAAATGTGTTGATAATTATTATTTTTCATTATAGCAGGGATCATTGACATTTATGTAGTGTCTAACATTTATTGGTTTCCTATTCATCATCTCATTTAATCCTGACAGAAATCCATTTCTATTGAAACTAAAAACATTATCTCTATTTATAGTTGAGGAAGCTGAAAGAGTGATTAGGGAGCTTAAATAAGATTATATAATCATTCATGTTGCAGAAGAGACCACAAACTCAAATCTCAAAGGAACTCTGAAATAGCATTTTCTTACAAACAAGTTCAGTTTTATTATATGAGCACTTAATATTTTCCAGGTTACATACTGCATTTGGGGTCCACTGATACAAAAAAAAAGTGTGCCTTTTAATAAATAGTCAAATTAGAAAAAAAAGGATAAAGAAAAATAATTTCACTTTTTTATCTTTTTTCCCTTTCTCTCAGTGTTTGACTAGAAAAGAAGATGAAAATAAAACAAAACAGGTTTTTGGAAGCATGAATTATAAAGGAAAGTTTGATACAGATTGCTATGAGGAATAGATTGGATCTGATAGCAACAGAGTTAGCAAGATAGAGAGGATGGCACCATTCTTAATATCCAAGATATGGAATCGGTGTAGGTTTCTGTCAAGGGATGAATGGATAAAAAAACTGACTCATGGACAAGGTGGAATATTATGCTTCCATGAAATAGAATGGAATCATTTTATGTGCAGCAATATGGATGGAACTAGATGACATTATGTTAAATAAGTCAGGTACAAAGGCAAGTACTACATAATATAAAAGCTACATAAATTTACTTTATAGATGTAGAGAATAGAAGAGTGGTTACAAGAGACTGGAAAGAGTAAGATAAAGAGATGTTAGTAATAACTAGAAGAAAGAAATATGTAGGTTTCCAACACAAAGCAATGATTAATGGTTGATATTCTGCTTATGCTAATGACCCTAATTTGATCATAATATTGTATACATGTATCAAAATAACACACTGTACTACATAAACATGTAGACTTATTATGTATCAATTTAAAATGGTAAAAAGAAAAGACAGTGAAAATGGAATAGGTTTGCCATATAATTGTCAAGAATTTTAATAGCTAAGCAATTATAAGTTATGAGTAAAAGTAAGTAATCGAAGAAAGCTGCTTAAGTTACTCTTCCCCAAAACAGGAATTGATACTAGTTTAAAGTGAAATAAGGAGGAAGGAGTACCATGTTATATTTTTATCAGCACAAACTTCCTTTCTTACTACTGTTCTCTATTCTCAGTGGCTACATCTTCACCAAAATTCAAGCCTTGATTTCTCCACCTATATTTTCTTTCTCTGAGCAAATATTACAAGTCAGAGGCAGGTATCTGATTCATCAGAAGAGGGAAAGTTTTCAGGAATAGTGTGCAGAAATAGAATTCTGATGTTAGTAAACACAGGGGAAAATGAACAGATCACCAGCAGCTAATGAAGAGTTGGACAGTTAAGGAGATAAATACAGAAAATGAGAACAAAGTAGGTGTTTCATTAACTGGTTGACTTACATACAAGTACTCCCAGCTTCCCTGGCAACAGGAATCAATTTTTCCAGCAAACACAGAATATGAAAACCACAGGGCATTACTCTAAGTACTAGTCAGAGAAGCTGGCTAGCAGCACCTTGGGATGGGCTGAGAAAGAGCTGGGAAGTGACCATGTTTCAGATACAGAATAAAATAAGGAACAGGAAAAATGTGAGGTGCAAACAAATCCTGTGGGTTTGAGGAAGTGTAGATATTTGGTAATGATGAAGGGTTGCAGGTTCAGATGACCAGTTTAGTACTGAGAATAATAAACCCTGTGGCTTCCCATTGCCTACTCAATACATATTTTCAGTTTTGCTATTTGAAAGAAATCATGGACTGAATAAATGACAAGTTTGTTTGTCTGCTACCTAATGTAAACTGATTGTAGAGTATCAATCAGGCAGGCTGCCCTCTAGCCCTGGCTTTACTGTGTTGTTGGAGAGTTAGACAGCAACTCAGTCTTGTCCTCATCCTCCACCTAATACACAGAGCTCTGTCTTCAATACAGACCTGATTCTCAACTTTTGTACAAAATTCTGCTTTAAAAATAGATGATTAATATGACATGCGGAGAAAAGAATATACAGAATCGTTTTTCAGAGCTATTTTCATTAGTTCCCTAAACATCTGTCAAAAGAACTTCTCTAAGTTTTTGATTCATTTAACGATGAAAATAACATAGAGAGTTTGTTAATCATATATTAAATGAAACTGAAGATCTCCTCCAAAAATCAGAAAATTAAAAAATTTGAAATTGCTGACAATAAAAAGAAATAATTAAAATTTTAATAAGCAATTCTTAATAAAATGAGAAAAATTCAAAAAAGCTTTCTATTAGCTGACTATTCGGTTATTTAGTTACTTTTGCTGATCTGAAAATTAGATTACTGTAAATTACCAATTATATCAATTTTTTATGACAGCTTGTTTTGTATAATTACATGCATCCTCTATTTAATTTTCCATTAAGGAATAAAGTGTTTGGTGAAGATATCACTAACCTCTATGGGATAGCAGTTTGTCAAATGATTCACCCCATTTCACTGCTTCTTCAGGGGAGACTCTGTTCGAGAGAAACAAAATGTTTTATAATGCAGTGTGCACAAAGTCTGTTTACGAATCTGTTTGAACATATGCTTATATTACTGCTCTTTTCAGTTATATTTTCACAGGGTTTCCCTTTGATTTTTATATAATGAAAGTTCCATTTACATCAGACACTTCAAAAACATTCGTCAATTCTCTTCTGGAATTTGCCTATCGAGCAGTGGGGTAAAATGACATTACAGATTTTCTCATGGATGTGTGAATTGTTTCATTTTTTTAAGGAAAAATTATTTTTCATTAAGTTGAAAAGTTTATGCGCACACACACGCACACACACACAGAAATGAGGTCAACTATCTTTTTTATTTTTAAATTCATAAATAGATGAACTTAAACTAAGAATATCTTTCAAACTCTTTTTTTTTAAACTGCAATTTCCTTGAAGCTTTAACCACAATATGCTACAAAACCTTTTTCTTAACAGAGACAGGAAGTTTGACTAATGAACTTTCAGAGGAACAAGAAATAAAAGCCATCTTTAATACAAAAAAATATTTTAGAGATGTTGAAAATATAGATAGTAGAATATTTTTTTGCATCTTGATTGTCATATTCAAGTTTGGAAAAATTTGTATTAAACTAGTTAAAAGGCTATTCTACTTTATTTAAATTAAACACAAAAAATTATAAAACATCCCTATGTATATACTGCTTGCTGTTATATGAAGAACATTTTTTAAACTGCTGAAAAAGAAAATAGCTCTTTTCTATGATAATACTACATTGTGAAAACATATTAATGATATGTCATCAGTTTATAAAAAGTAAAATATGTTCTTTAAAACTGACAGGCATATAAATTATAAAATGTAATTATTTAATTTAAGTTATAAAAGTGGCTTAATTTTAGAGAGATTTCAAATTTCTTGAAACAACTTCTCTATTTTTCCTTATACTACCATGTAATTTCCAATAAAATAGAAATCCCTAATTTCCTTTCTTAAAGCTTTAATTATGGAATAAACAAAATCCCCTCCACCCAGTAATGAAAGTTATTCACCTCAATTCTTTGGACAAGGCCCCAAATCTACTGGAGTGGGTCTCTTCATGTGAGTCAAGTTTCTGTACAAGAAGACTTAGCCTATTTCTTTTTTCCTTGGCTCTGTAAAAAAGGCAGTAGCTTCAGGACAATTTAGATGACAGGCAAAAATCTTCTTCTGACTACCAACAAATCTGGAATTAGTAAATACCCACTCACAGTGCTTCCTCCCCATACATACTCTCAGAAATCCTATTTAATTACTATATTTCTGGAGAATTAGGATAGCAGATACTAAATATGTTCCTCTTTTACCTGCATGACAGACACACATTTGAAATTATATTTCAATACAGATTATTCTAGTTCTTCTTGTGTGGCTAATATTACTACATCTTTTAAATTGAAAACCCTTTAGGTTTAACAGTTGTTTAATCCAAGTAAGAAAATATTTTTCTTTATTTGTGACAGTACAATCAATCCATTTTCAACCAGATATTTAAAAAACAAATGCTAACACATATTCATTAATCAGGATTTTAAAAGTATAACATTGAAAATAATTTTACCTGGTTTTGGCCTCTTTGCTTGCTTCTTCTTTTCCTAGACCACCATGTATTAACTTGAAAAAAGCTTTTTCTTTTGTTTCACACATATTTAATTGAGAAAACAAGACAAATGATGTTTCCATGTTCCCTCTAAAATGAAGAGATGTCTAGTATCTTACCATCCTTCTGTAGTTCACTGGTGAGTGCTAGTCTGTAGTTATGCATGGTAGAATACAAAACTGTCTCAACTCTTTCAGCAGGGCTTCCAAAAAAGAAAGAAAAGGAAAACAGACAAAAGAAAAAAAAAGTTCAGAGCTGTGTTTCTACCTCTGTAAAAATGTAGAACTGAGGAACTGAAGTATAATTCTGTCTTGAGCTGTTGAGGGAAATGATACCACACATTTGCAAAATGACGCTGGACTCCAAGATAAAGACGGTATTACCACAGAGTAACTTCTCTTTTGAGTTTGTGCAACCAGAATGATGCTTTAATAGACACAAATGGAGCTGTCATTTCCCACAGGAACTTTGTAAAGGGTTCTTTAATATATATTAAAAGTATTGTGGAAAGTGTAGGAAACATTTGAAGATATTTCCCCTCATCTTAAAAATGTAATTTTATTTATTTTTATTATATTGAGTTAATTAAATTACATTTAATTCACATAGTCTATGTAGTGTTAATTTTATTTGCTTAACATAGTGCATCCAAATAAGACTGTGGATTCAAATTTTATGGTTGAAAGGGAGAATAGAAAGCACTTACTTCAATAATTTTTAAACACAGGTCCACAGAATAATTTCAGATGTGTTTGAATTTTTACCACTAACTGATGGAATGGAAAACATATGGATTTTTTCCTTAAAACTCTTAATCTCTTTAATATAAAGGATTTTATATTAAAAATATAAAATTCATTGTAGTTAAAATATTCTTTTTAGTGGAAAAGCATAACTGAAAATGACAGTTTGTGTGTTGGTATATTTTAAACCCTTATTCAAAAATAAATGTTGTCAACAGCAAATTAGTTGAGTTCCCCTTCTTTCATTGTTGCATGAAATTTAAAGATCGAAAGATACTGATCTAATTCATGATAAGAAAAAAAGAAACCAAAGATCACAGACTTTAAGTGACTCATTCCTGCAAAGTCCCAAAGAAAGGTCAGTGAAAGATCTGGAATTATCAAGCCATTGATCACCAATAGTATGTGCTTTAGTTTTTACAAGAGCTTTTGATCTTTAATGGTGAAAACTTTAATTAGATAAAAAAAAATCACATATTGCATAATATTTAGCAGTTAGCTCACTATAATAAAAAGGTACCAAGTTCTTTTAAAAAAAGTTTAAAAAATCAACTTACATAAATGAAAAATACAAAATTTTATTTTTAATCTTTTTGAATTATTGATTTATCAAGACAATTGTTATCAGCTATAATAACTAGGTGTTCAAAAACATTTACTGATTTGAAAATATAAAATACTTATTACAGAGTCATACATACAGCCTCATGGTTCACTGACTTACTTTGAACATATTTTAAAATTCTTCACCTTGATTTAAAATTGGCTGTTAAAAATATTACATATGATGGCATTTTATGGCAAATTAGTAGAACTGTATGTTGAAAAGGCATATTCCATTTCCACCCTGACATATTCGTGTATTGATTAGCATTCCCTGGTTCCTATGTGAATGACAGCAAGAGAAAAATCATGGGAACATGGACATCATCTAATCCTAAGGATTTTTTTTTGAGTTACTATATCCACAGGAGTGAAATACATAAACTTAGTAAATTATTCTTTGTGATATCCATTGACCATGCTGAGGAGATAGCCCAGTGGTGGAGAGCTTACCTAGTGTGCTTTAGGCCCCAGGTTCAATCCCCAGAACCACACAAACACACCCAAAATGATCTGTTGAGATTTTGTACAAAGTGTTCTATCTGCACAATGACAGAACTATGAAGAAAGAAATTTAGAAAATATAAGCACCAGTAAAACATTCAAAGGCCTGTGTAGAGGTCTAAAACAGAATTGGGAAAGATATGTGGTTCTAATCTCTATGTGGAAAGGAGGGAGCTCAAGCACCAGAGGGAGTCAAATGGTGACTTCAGCTAATAATTATTCTTTTAGGAATTATTATTTCTTGAATAGTTTTTTTAAAATGATAAAGCATAGTCTTTTCTTTTTTTATTTGCCTTAATATTTCCTTTCTAGCTCTCTGCTCTCCGAGTTTTGATCTGGTTTCACTTTCCTTCAGCCTAAAAGCCTTTCTTTATCATTTTCTGTTCTTAAGTTCTACTGACAACAGATTTTCTCAGCTTTGGATTTTCTGAATTGTGTAGGTGTGCAAAGTGGAGGGACTAAATCAAGCTCTTTAACATATGTATTAAGGATATAATCTTAATTACTTCCTGTCTTCTACTGATTTTGAAATTAGTTTGTTCTTCCTGTTCTGGGGCCTTCAGTTATAACATTAGATTACTTAGGATCTTTCTTTTTGTTTCAACAAAGGTACTCAATGATATAACTTTCTTCTAAGAAAGTTATAGTATACTGTGCCTCATGCTGTCCCAGAGATATTGATGTGTTATATCTCTGTTCTCATTTGCTTTTAGGCACTTTTATTTATGCTCTAATTTCTTCTGTGATTCGTTGCTCATTCCAAAAATATTTAATCTCAAGGTATGAAAAAGATTTCTGTTTTTTAGCTTGTTATTTATTTCTAATTTCAATCCATTATGATCTGATATGATGCAAGGAATTATTTCTTTTTTTATATATTTGCTAAGACTTGCTTTGTATCCTAAAATATAGTCTGTTTTAAAAAAGATTCCATGTGCAACTGAGAAGAAAGTGAATTGAGATGTAGATGGCTGGAATATTATCTATAGATATCTGTTAGTTCTATTTGATTAATTCTTTTTAGTTCTGAAGAGTCTTAACTTATTTTATGTGGATGATCTACCTATCTATTGATGAGAGAGGGTATATTGAAATTACCCAGTATTATTGTTTTAGGGGCTATTTGATTCTGTATTTTGGGTAGAGTTTGTTTTATGTCGGTAAGCGCACTGGCATTAGGATCATAACTATTGATAATCATTATATTCTTGGATGATTCCCTTAATCAGTATGAAATGACCATCTTTTTCTTTTATGGTTAATTTTGACTAGAAATCTACTTTATCAGATATAAGAGTAGCTACTCCTCCTTTCTTTTGGTCTCCATTAACAAGGTATATCTTTTTCTATCCTTTCACCTTCATCCTATAGATGTCTTTGACTATAAGGTGACTCTTTTATAACAATATATATTTGGGTATTGTTTTTGATTCATTCTACCAATCTATATCTTTTGATTGGAGAGTTTAGACCATCTACATTCAGTGTGATTATGGAGTCAATTTTTATTTTCTGCCATTTTGATTTATTTCTAAAGTGTAATTTATACTTGATTGTCCTTTAATTGCCTCTTTTCCAGTGAGATTCACCCATATACTGCCTCTGAAATTTATTTTTAATTTACTTTGTGTGAAAATCTCATAGAGTATGTTTTGTAGTTTTAGCTTAGTGGTCATAAATTAATTTATTTTTAATTTAACATAAAACATTTTTATTTGACTTGAATTCTGAAGAATAGTTTTGTCTAATACAGCAATGTTAGTTGGAACCCATTATCTTTCATGGCTTGGGATTATTCCAAGGCCAACTGGCTTTTAGTGTCTGGGCTAAGAAATCAGTTGAAATCCTAATTGGCTTACCTCAAAATGTAGCTTGCTGTTTTTCTCTAGTGGTTTTACAATTTTATCCTTTTCTATATATTAGGTATTTTAATTATAATGTGTCTGAAGAGGATCAATTTTGATCTTGTTTATTTAGGATTCTGAAAGCATCCAGTATTTGGATTTCCGTATCATTCTTAAGGTTTGGAAAATTTTTGGATATTACTTTGTTAGAAAGTTTGTAGTTTGTATTTAGGTCTTGAAATTCTGCTCATGGTCTCTTAACATCTTTTCTTTGTTGTCTTTGAGACCCGAGAATCTGTGGTCTAGTCTACTGGTGATGCTTTCAACTGATTATTTATTTATTTATTTATTAAATCTTTTATTTCTAAGATTTCTGTTTGGTTCTTTTCAAGAATCTCTTTCTCTTTCTTGGAATGTTCTTTTACTTCCTATATATAGTCTCTCTTAGTTCATTTCTTAGCTCTTCCTTTAATATTTTAATTATCAACTTTCTAAATTCTTTCTCTGGCATTTTCTCCACTGTGGTATCAATGGGGTCAGTTGTGATGTGAACAATTTGGAGTGGCTTATTCACTTGATTTTTTATATCACTAATATCCTTACCCAACTTTGGGGATGATTCTCTCCTTTTCTTTTACATAAGAGACTTTATAGTGAGCTGCTCTTTTCATACCATGTGTCCTGGATTGGGTGATTACCTTGGTGTCAATATTTTCACTCAATTTGTTCAGTCTCTAACACCATATTGAGAGGAGATATTAAATTCCAGTAATTATAGCCCCTTCAGAAAATGCCTTATACTAATAAATCTTTTTTTAAAAACCATACTAACAATGTTCTTTAGCAGCCCACTAATCTATTTTTGCTAGTCAGGTTTTTGAAATAGGGTTTCTTTTTTCTGGGTTTTCAGTTATTGTGCAGTTTTAAAATTCTCAACTCTGAAGCAAAGTGGTCAAAGTTGTTAGGGGAGTCTGTATGCAGAATTTTACTATAGGGTTCTAATGGCTGGAAAGCTCAGGTGTACCTGCCTCTTCTAGGCATGTCAGATCATGTGCTGGGTTAAGAAGATGGGAATGTGTTAGCCTATCCTCCACCCCTTCTAGATTTGGATCACTAGATTTCCTTTGAATTTAACTGTTCTCTGTCCCTAACCCCCATGTCAGACTGGCTCCTAATCCCAGAGTTTGGATTGCCTGTTTTAAGTAAAATCTTTGTTCTTTTCGGTTTTGTAGACTCAATTTTCAGGTGCTGAATTATTGTTCTGATTACTCTTGGGGAACTGCTATGATAGTGTGGCTTCCTTTGAACATCTTATTCCACTCTGCAAAGGGACAGACTACATGGATTAAAAGAATTTTTAAAATATAGTTAATTAAGAGTAAAGAAGTTGGGATATGAAGGCAAAAGGAGGGTTGGAATATTAAAAAAAAAGAAAGAAGAATGTAGAGACAAGGTCATGGGTCATGCATGGAGGCCTAAAAGAGGGAAAAAGTGAAGAAGTAGAACAGAAATCTTTTTTTTTTTTCCTATTAGAGGGAAAGGTGAGAAAGGTAAGAGTAATTAAACAAGCGAACAAGTTGAGTAGAATGACACCAACCCCTGCCCATAGCAAATGATAAAACTAAAAATTAAAAAATAATAGCAGACAGCCCAAATTTAAAAAAAAAAAGTCTCTTTTAGAAAAAC